ATATTTAAAATGAGATGTTTATCTTGTATTTGATTGTGTTTATCTGCAGTTAGTTACACGAATTCAGTTATGGGATGAAATCGGATAGGGATGAAATTGTTTAGGGATGAACGGGTTTAAGAGTTTTAAGAGTTTAAGAGTTTTTAAGAGTTTTAGCCAAATGCTTTATAATATAGTATAGATATATGAGCCTAATCAAATGAAAACTAATTAGTTTGTGGTAACCGTGAGGTTCAATCTCAACCACAAATCAATTTATAAATTACGAAATTTATAATTTTGGTAATTTTTAATTAAAAATTTAATGCAAAAACATTTTAGGTATTTTCTCTCCTCTCTCCTATCTCCTCTCTCATCTCTTCTCTCTCCGTCTCCAGGCCTCCGTCCCCCGGCCTCCGACCACAGTGGTATCACAATGCATCTTAAAATCAAAAAATCATTTTTGTTAATTTATTTTTGTTAAATTATTTTTGTTAATATAAGAATTATGTGAATTCAACTATATTTATATATATGAACCATTGTGTCAAATATGAAAAAAATTTGACATATATATAAACTTGGACTGCATAGCATTTATGAATACAATAGGAACATAATAAGAATAACTGCTATACGAAAAGAAATAAATAAAAAAACATGTATGAACACAATATGAACAGCTTGTGAACAATAGGTCATTCATTATGAATACATTCAGGAGCGATCCTTTGTTAATTGGAGTTTTATACATACTTTGCATCCACTAGGGATGGCAACGGGGCGGGGATGGGGCGGGGTTTGCAATCCCCGGCCCCGGCCCCGGCCCCGGCCCCGGTTTATATAAATAGTCCTCGGCCCCGTCCCCGGTCAACTTTCGGTCAACCTCCGGTCAACCCCCGGTCAACACCCGTTTTAGCCCAATTATATATATCACTTATAAGCCCAAATCCATAATAAATCTAAGCCCAATTATATATATCACTTATAAGCCCAAGTCCATAATAAATCTAAGCCCAATTATATATATCACTTATAAGCCCAAATAATAAAAATGTTTAATATATACCGGGTACGGGGCGGGTCGGGGGATACAATACCCGGCCCCGGCCCCAACCCCGGTTTGCCTCTACCGGGGATCCCCGGCCCCGGTACCCGTTTTAGTAGGGAATCATCGTCCCCGTCCGGGTCGGGTGAACCGGGTTCCCCACCGGGTCGGGCCAAATCACCATCCCTAGCATCCACACCGTTTAAGGTTCGTATTACGGTATCTCCTCTCGTCAGACTAAAGAGCCATAGAATCAAATTACTTTTTATTTGGTATTCCCTCCCTACTATATACAAACCATCTTGTTTGTATGTCTCCGTTCTTGTTTTTTTTTAAAAAAAACCCGACATTGTCCGCATACGTCCTGTACATCTTTTCCGCTTCATTTATAGTACGAATTATGCGTTGATCTTTGGTTTAAGCTCGTCATCAACATTGTGGATAAAAGATTTGCTTCCATTTGAACACTCTTCGAAATTGTACTCCGTTTCATGTTTGGAGGGTGTAAGTATGTAAACACATGCTGATTCCATCATAGTTAGTAAAATCAATGAACATTAATATTACATAACTAGAGGAATCAACTGTAAAAACCAGAAAATAGATTTATTTGGTGCGAGTTAAAACAATCATTAATGATCATGAGATGATTAATGTGAACAAATATGAACAACAGGTGAGATCTATTTGGTTCGAGTTCACAAGTTGTTCACAGAATAAAATAATTGACATGAACATATATGAACAAATTGTATATAGATTTATTTGGTGCGAGATCAATCATTAATGAGCATGAGATGAGTAATGTGAACATTTATGAACATGAACATATATGAACAGCAAATGAGATCTATTTGGTTTGAATTCACAAGTTGTTCATAACATGAAAGATAAAGATTAAAATAAAAATAAAAATATCAATATTATAAATGGATATTTTTAGAGATTTTATGATTTTGTAACTCCTCATTAATGGTATGAGAGTTATATATCAAATAAAATTACTCAATTACCCTTGACATTAAATTGTGAACATGATAAAAACCTAATAAAAGAATGAATTATGATTGGTTGACATGGTTTGCAATAAAAACTTTGGTTAACATTTGATCTTTTATATATATATATATATATATATATATATATATATATCCTTGCATTAACTTTATTCTTGTTTTTGATAAAAAAAAAGATAAAATGAGGCTGTAGGGTAAGACTTTCTACGATTTACATGTAGACTATCAGGCTGCCAAGGAGAACAATCATACAAGATCTGTTTGATGGTTCTTGTTTTTTTGATTTACATGTAAACGAACTCGTAAGTGTAAATATATCATTCTTAAAATCTCCTCAAACAAAATCACCAAAGCTTCAAAATCGTTTACATTTACAGCTCCCGTCGCATTGCGCGGGTAGTATATATATATATATATATATATATATATATATATATATATATCCTTGCATTAACTTTATTCTTGTTTTTGATAAATAAAAACAAGATAAAATGAGGCTGTACTTAACAAGTTCGTTTGAATAAATGAATGGTTTCAACGTTAAACACGTAATTTAATGATTTTATTTTTATAGTTATTGAAAGTGACGGACAATTTCTATTCACATGGACCAAGAGTGGTGTTTCCTTGCTTTTGGATATATATATAAACACCCAAAATAACACATACAAACTTTAAAAAAAAAAAATTATTCTACTTGTAAACATTTAATTAATTTGATAATATATACATACATATATATATATACACACACATGCATATGATAGGATCAAGCATGCATGCAAATGCAAGTAGTAGCTAGTACTCTCAAGTCTTTCATATATTTGTGCACCGACATTATCTAAATAGCAAAATAATTAAGAAAGAAGCCATGCAGCAATATTATCTGTTGTTGTGCTTGCTAGCTCGCTCTCCTGCCATGGCCATGATAGAATGATATCTTCTTCTTCCTCACCAACCCCTAACCCTAACCCTACTTCTTCATCATCAAAATTCCAATTCCAATTCCACTCCCACTCCCCATCAACCACTTGCTTCCCATCACCCACATTCAATAAATCGGTTGATGAGCTGCTTCTATTACCACCAACTAACTCCCCTTTTTCGCTTTCAATTTCCTTCCCTTCTTTTCCTCCATTACTAGTTGCATCTTGTGTAATTTTCTCCTCCTCAACAACATCCTCCAAAAGTAGGGCCCCATTCTCAATAAAGTAATTCATCCCATCGTCATCAACCATCATATCTCCATCATCCGAGTGCTGATAACTGCTCGAACAAGTTGGGTCCAAGTAAACATGAATGCTTTCTTTTTCTGTACATGGTGTCAAAGGCGTTATAGGAACATTGACAGGTGAAATCAATGTAGGTGGTGCGTCCCATGAAGTGGTCTTATTGGCGCATACCACGGTGGGGTCCGTCATCAGCTTCTTGTTGTTAGCATTGGAAAAAGATGTATACGTTTTGTTGATCTTCATGGTGGATCGGCTGGTTCTGCCTTTGCGTTTGTGTGGTGATAGGTCGGGCATTGACGGCACCGGCAGCCTTCTCGAGGGAATGATTTTTCGGCTGAGGTGGGAGTTCCAATAGTTTTTGATTTCGTTGTCTGTTCGCCCAGGCAAGTGGGCAGCTATCAAGGACCACCTGTTAAAAAAGTTCAATTTTAATTTTTTCACTTATAAATTAATTTGTGAGAAATTCAACTGGACACTTTTATGGTATGTTGTTCCATGTTTTACATATATCACGTACGCAATTAATTACCAAACAGCTAAGCTAAGCATATTATATATATATATATATATATATATATATATATATATAATGTGTGGTTGATGTGAGGTAGGTATAGATAGAGATGAATGAGTAGTGACCTGTTACCCAAGGATGCATGTAGCTTGGTTATCACATCTTCCTCCTCCTTGGATATGTTGCCTCTCCTTAGATCAGATCTCAAGTAGTTTATCCATCTCAGCCTGCAACTCTTGCCGCACCTCAGCAATCCTGTATATATATATATATATATATATATATATATGTATATATACACCACCCATGCATTAGTATATAAATGTTAACTGGTATAAAAAGATCAATTGAATGGATATATATACCAGCATTTTTGGGTAAAGACCTCCAAGAGCCTTCGCCGTGAGTTTGAATGTAGTCGATCATGATCTTGTCTTCTTCAGCCGTCCACCTTCCCCTCTTCAACCCTACTTTCTCACAACATGGAGCTCTACCCATGGATCTTGATATTTAAAAAAGGAGCTGAATAGCTAGTGATTAAAACCATGAAAGTATGAGAGGGGTTTGGTGATATTTATAGAAAAAGTGCAAATGGTGGTATTTTCAGAAAGATTTCTAGTGTGTTTTGTCTTTAAAGGATGGAGTGATGTGTGTGTATATGGTGGAAATGTTTGCCACGAGTCATGTTGTACTTGTTGAGACCAAGTCCTTTGTCGTGGCTTCTTCACCGTCTAGTCCTGATGACGGGGCACCCATCTCCCACGTTCATCCACCTTTCTCCAAACCCCCGTTCAGTACATCTCCCATTTCCATTCCCACCTGCTATAATTGATCATCACGATCGCGATTTTTATCACATTTAATCTTAAACCCACCTATAATTCATCTCATACATATACGAGGCATGCTGAATTCATCTGTTTTAGAAAGATACGTAGCTACCTAGTTCATCACTTGCATTTGGTGATGATGAATTGAAGTAATTAATTAAATTAATTAAAGGTTGTGAAAGTTGAATTTTTTTGGTAATTAAAGAAGCATAGAGTAGATGGGGGCATGCAATTAAAGGCATGAGCACGACATTTCTGGAAACTACTACTACTACTAGTAGTAGTATGTATTATTAAGGTACACAAAGAACAAAGAAACATACATAGTGTCGACATGAACATATATCATGTGAATGCGGGATCCACCTCCATCAATTCCATCCTCTCTACTTAATTAATTTACCACTAATTCTTTGTTTTTGTTCACAACAATCTTTACTACAAATATCAACATTTTCATATCAAATATATATATAAATTCACATATATATATATATATATATACATATATATATAGACACTTGGGATCATGTGAGACCAGCTTGTTTTCGTGAGACCCGTGAGACCAACATTTTACACTTGAAATTTCACAGCAAAATGCTGTGAAGGTAACTTTTTAAAACCTTCACAGTGTTTTTGCTGTGAAGGTTCGACTTTTTTTAAACCTTGCACAGTGTTTTTGCTGTGAATGTGACTTTTTAAAACCTTCACAGTGTTTTTGCTGTGAAGGTTCGACTTTTTTTAAACCTTCACAATGTTTTTGCTGTGAATGTTACGTATAAAAATGTGGTCTCACGAGTCTCACAAAAACAGGCTGGTCTCACGTGAACCTAACCCTATATATATATATATATATATATAGAGAGAGAGAGAGAGAGAGAGAGAGAGAGAGGTTGGTTCAAATAGAAACCAACCATATGGTACAAACTATGGAAA